CTCTAATGGTTGAGTTTAGTATGTCGTGATAGCCCCCAAATCAAAGGCTAAGCCAATAGATTCAGAATACACCCTTCTAGTGTAGCTCCGATAGATGAACTGATATATGGAGAACATGCCTTGCAAGTTCCACATGGCGAAGGCAGGGAGTTTAGCTAGCCTCACCTCAATCAAATCTATCATCGCTTGACACATACAAGAGGAGCTCGTCTCCTTAGGCTTCGAACTCCCTAATCTGGAAGCGTTTGATGGGAACGTTGACCTAACGGAGCACGTGGTAGCCTTCCACACATAAATAATTCTCTATGGTACATCCGATGCTTTGATGTGTCGAACTTTCCCTACGACCTTAAGGAGGATGGCTCGACATTGATATGCTAAGTTGAGGCCTCTTTCTGTTGACTCCTCCGCCCAACTCATCTAGGAGTTTGCAGAGCACTTTGCGGGCAACATTCACCCTCGACGCTCAATAACTACCCTCCTAGGCATATCGAGGGGTTTATGTAGAGGAACATCATACTCGGTTCACCATCCTGAGGGCAATCATCATTGACAATGGATACAATTCAACAATCACAAGTTGAAGGCCCTCTGTCGGTCATTCGACTTTCGATTGTGATTCAATTTAGTAGCTCGTCTGTAGACTAACGGCATAGTCAAGGTGACAAATCGAGCCATACTTGAGGGATTGAAGAGGTGGGTGGCTGATGCCAAAGGCACTTGGCTTGAAGAGCTACCTAGCATCTTGTGGGCTTCTCAAACTACTCTGAAGACTAGGACGAAAGAGTCACTGTTCAGCCTAGCCTTTAGACTAAGGTGGTCCTCCCCCATGAGATGGTCTTCCTGATCTCTTGAGTTGAGAGTTACAATGAGTAACCCTCTGAGGAGGGACTTCATGCGATACTGAGCCTCATTGATAAAATCAAAACCAAGTCACACTTGAAGATGCTCAACTACAAGAAGGTTGTAGTCTGACTCTACAACATGGGCATACAAACATAGGGAATCAACCTAGTCGATCTACTTCTATGGATGGTCAAAGTAAGTGACCTGACCCATTCTTAGGAAAAGTTGGTACTAAACTGGAAGGGAACCTACTAAATTATTAAAGCTATTCTGAATGGAACCTACTATTTTAGAATAATGAAAGGGAAGTCACAACCAAGGACCTAACACATATCCAACCTCACAAAGTTCTACCCTCGACTCAAGAAGCCATGCTGCATGGTTGGACAAAGAAGGCATACTGTCCCATGACTTGTAAATATTTTTTAAAATTTATAATGATTCATTCGAAATTTTAATTTTGAGAAGTTCTTACATTATACAATTCAGGTATCTAATTCCGAAAGTTAACCGACCCAACAAAAAGTAAAAAGAGGGAGGGAGAACATCAGTTGGTTGAGGGAGCGGGAAAGCTATCTGAAGGGTCGTTGCCACCTAAAGAGATCAAAATTGGAGCACTCAAGGTGCCAGCTTTGAGAGGAGACTCAAAGCTATCGTCAAAGGGAACCTCCAACTGCATCGATAGGTCTTTGTCGACCTCCTGATCGCAGAAGGGGTTCTCCTCCACCTCGAGCCCTAAATGTGCATCCTTGAGGTGGGTTAGAGCCAAAAGATACTTATACTCAAAGGAGTATTCCCTTGAGCAGGTCCTTCTTGAAGTCAACCAAGGACTTGTAGCTCTCAATCACTTTGGCTTCCCTCTTTAGTAGCAAGGGTGCCTCGACCATGAGTTGCTCTGCCAGGTTGACAACTTGATAGTTGTGCTCGTCGATCTATTGATCCTTCTCCTCGAGCTACCCCTTGAGATCCTAGATAATCACTAGATCTTAAAGCAGCCCATCCTTTGTGGACTAAAATTGTCCTTAAATGGACTTCAACTCGATCACCTGAGAGGCATCGATGTGACGAAGCTCCTAAGTTGGCCCTCTAGCTTGGCCACCTACCCTTCCAATAGAGAGATGACCTGTGGGTCAAGCAACTCCCTTAGGGCATCCACCTTAGCCTAGAGGCACACGATTTTGTCACCCTATATGGTAATAACAACTCCTGAATCTCACATTCGATCTACCAACGACATGAAATAGTGTTAGTGCTGTAGACAATATTGGCAAAATTAGAGCAATTGAGTCATTGAGGACAGACAAAAATAGACCGAGGAGCTACTTATGAGAATCTCCCGTCTCATGCATGCCTTGATGAGTATCTTTGAATGTAGCTTATATACCTCCTTGGCTAAAGGGGGGAGCAGCGCTCCTCAAAGGTATTCCGTGGACTAAGGGTTGTCCTTCCAAATGATCCGGAAGGTTTTAAGGCCCTCATAGTACACCTCTAATGGAGCCCCTACATCGGATCGGGGAGGTCCACCACCATTACCGTGGCAAATGGCATTGGCTTATGCTAATAAAGCTCCCACATGTCGTTCCGACAATACCTCTTCTGCATACGCTCCCTCAAACTCAGGGGTCGATTGTCCGAGGCTTCTGAGGCTTTCCTCTTTTAAACAACCCTAAGGGTCTGCGGGGCCGAATCAACCGGAGGGGGAGGCATCTTGGCCTCCTTGTTAGAATTGCTCTTCCGACCTTGGCTCGAGGATGGGGGGAGCTATCAAGCCTAGCTCTGAAGGGGGATTCACAAGCTTGGTAGCAACCTCCTAATTTGGTGCCCTAGAGGAGGAGGCAAAGCCTCACCCTTTCTTTAGATTCGCAAGATCTATCCTAGCAAAGAGGCAACTTTAAGGTTAGAAACTTAGTCAACTAGGTCAGAAGAGTGTCTCGGGAAGCAGAGCACACCTTGAGGAGCAGGACTTAGGCTAGCCTCGACTAACCACTCCTCATCCATGCACTCGATGGCTGAAGAAGAGGACAAGGTCTCGCCTAGCCAAAGCACCAAGTTGCTCTTCCCGTCAAACAAGTAGGGAGGTGTGTTGATGAATGTATGTGCGGACCAATTGAGACTGAAGTCCCAATCCAAACTAGTGTCGATGAAGAAGTAGCACCCCTTGTTGTAAACCCCTCCAAATTCATGAAGTAGTACCCATTTATTAGTCATATATGTCCTACAAGCCAATCACGTGAGTGATGGCATGAGTAAAAATTAGTGGATAGAGATTCACTAATCTAAGAGGCTTGGGTAGTTGGACGAAGATCCAATACCTAATAGAGCAAGATCCATTAGAGTTAAGTAAATAGGGGACATCTATAAATAGGAGGGAACTAAAAACCTATAGGCTAGAAGCTTCTTGGTTGTCACCTCCTATTCTTCTCCCCCCTTCTTCTCTTTAGATAGTAGTTGTAAAGATTTAGACAATAATTTGAGGAGCGTCATCGCCACCCTACTGTGTGGATTACTGCTAAAGAGGAGGGTGCTTGACCTCCTTCATCCTCTCCTACAAATATGTAGGGATTCAGGGATATATGATCTCCCTCGATAAAACACTATCTTACACGTGGATTTAAGTTTCATGGGTTTTTACACACCTATCTTTGTACGACGACGAACACCTTTTTAAGAAATTTAGGGTTTTTGTTTTCTGTTCTTTCGCTGCGCATGTGATGTTGCCTTTAGATTTCCTTACATCATTGGCCCGCTTGTATGCTAAAAAATAGGAGGAATAAATTCAAAGTTAGGACTATGCTGGCATAGCAGCATTTCCCGATGAATACAACAAATAGTACCACGGGTTGGGCACAATTCGAGAGGGGGAAATCCTCCACCAATGGAAGCACTCAAAGATGAAGGGGTAGAGGGAGAATCTGAGTCCAACCTCTAGTGCATCAAAATATACGCAGAGATACTTGCATATTGGGTTGAATGGATGTTACTTGGCTCGAAGCACTTGGTACTCGAGTGAAATTGAGAATCGAAGGCACAAGCACTCCAGAAGCTTCAGAGTCATGATTGGGTCTTGATCATAAGAACATTTTATAATTTGAAGATCCCTAAGAACCCTCAGATCGAGCAAATCTGTTCCCCCTGAGGAGGACGAAGACTCCCCTCTTGGCCTCGAAGTGGCCTTGGGTAGCACTTCGACCCCCTTAACCATCAGTTGGTTGAGGGTTTGGGACTCGGATGAGTTGGAAGAGGACAGTCTCCTGACCTACCAACAAAGAGGAAAGATCAATTCTTCATAGACTTGAGATTTAAAGCAGAAGACACAAAGGCTAGAGTAAGAAGTAGGGTGGGGCTCAAGATGCACGTCAGCCCCACCTACAATGGAGAGGTCGTCTTATACCCATTGAACTACCACTTCACCTTTTAGAGTGTCGGTTCGACTCTCCAGACAACTATCCAAGTTTTCGCTCAATGCAACACTTGAAAATTTTTCACAAGCCTCTAGCTCGACACGAAGTTTGGAATTTTCTTGTCAATGGAGACTTGAGTAGGGAGAGTTTGTCAAAGCCTCCTCTCAGGCTAAGCATGAAAATGCGCTCGAGGTACCCTTCTCGGACTAAGCATGAAAATACACCCAAGATGTCCCTCTTGGACAAAGCATGAAAATACACTTGAGATGTCCCTCTAGAGTTAAGAATGAAAATGCGTCTAAGGTACCCTTTTTGGGACTAAGCATGAAGACATACACTTAGATATACCTGAAGTGTCCCCTTAGGATAAGCTTGAAGTGTCTCCTGCCCCCCCCAAAAAAATAAAATGTAACCCATGATAGGACCCAAATGAGGTGGCGACCACCTAGTAACAAAGATAGACTCGAGAGAAAATATTTGAGACTGCTCACCCGTGAGCTTTTTTATCACCTTGACCCTAACTTAAGTGTCGAAAGGACTAGATCGAGTACCTTATCCGCATGTAAGCGAGTTTCAGATCCTCCTTTTCGAACATTCTCAAACCCCTACACACACGACTCAAGATCGAGTCGTGCAGACAGAGACATTCCCAACATTTCACACCATCAACGTCCAACCAACTTTCTGTATCTTCAACATATATGTCAGCATAAATAGCTGTCAGACTTTCACCACTCAACCGAAGCACAACCATATGCAAATAAGCAGGCGGTTGGATATCATGAGTTTACACATTATTATATATATCGTTCAAAAGCACGAATTCCACAACCCCAATAAGGGGGAAAATTAGGAGGAATTTGAACTCAAGTTGAACCAAAAAGTATGAGAAAAACACTCAGGTTGCATCCACCAACCCATACATTGCACATAGAAGAAAGAAGCATTAGATGAAAGCCTGAACAGGGAATGTCTTCTCCTAATATAATTCAACACTCTGTTGCTGTTCTTTTCCTGCATACTGGTCCTGACTGAAAAATATGAACAGATTACTTTGCATTAAATTAAGCAGATGAGTTAAAGATGTAAATTAGAGGAACCAAGTCACCACAATTCTCTTTGGATCCCCTATTATGAAGTTGTTGGTAAAGCTAATGTGTGACTAGTACTTACAGATTGACGAAAACAAAAACCGCAAACTTACACACGTATTACAGAAAGATCGGTGCTCTTGATCACCCTCAGCCTTTTAGCCATCGAAACAAACATGCTGGAAGTGTCAAATAACAAAAAAAAGGATTTTAGAATCTTGAAATATTAGTTCAATTAATGTTCTTGATTCATGCTGAATTGCAATATTCAGATAGAAAGACCTGTAAGCATAAAAATGAGAAACTAAGTGCGACATGAAGCAAAAATTTTGCATAAGCATGTTAAATCTCATGACTAGAATGGAATTTATAGAAGGTCAACAATAGGGTCACATTTCATAAATCCTTTTGCCTGAAAGAAAAAGTACCACATTGGTGTTTCTTCCTCTAGTCTATTTGAATGGAGCCTCATTTGACAATGGCTTGCAATTTCTTCTCATTTGACAATCAGTTATTTTCTTTGCCTCTGGTCAATCTTCTTGGATTAGGAATTATGAAAAAAATGAATGTCGATGTCTTATTAATCTAATTGCTCTTCGCCTTACTTATTATGTCTTCAATTTAGGATAGAAGTGATACCACACCAATGGAGGAATTGTAAGCCAGAAGTTTGTGCTACGGAAGACAAGAAAAAAGTTGAATCCTTAAAATAAATCTCTTAAGGAAATTCGATCTTATTGTTTCAGGAAGTGCTGCGTGATCAGATGAAAGTTGAAAATTCTATGTTAGAATTTGTTGTGCAAATTTGCTCTAACATGTACTGTTGTCCGATAGATAATCACATATATTATGTGATAATCAAACACAAGAGAAAAATGTTCGCAGTCGATCGGTTGATCCAACAAGTGCTATACGGTACCATATTCATGCATTTGAAAGAGCAACTAAAATCAGACACTTTTCTAAACTGGTAAGTGCAAACGCAGGGAAAGGAAAGCTTACTCCCAAGGTACATCTCCAACAAGCATCCTATCTCCTTCATTATCTTCATAGATCAGTGAATATTCACCAGTACCATCTAATAAGCCTGTAAATACTTGTTTTTCTCCATCCTTCAAAGTATCAGCAGTAGAAGGATCCTTTTGAGCTACAATATAATAACAAAAAATGTAAGCAAACTAACAGATCTTCTTTTGTTTATTTTGCATCAATGATGTAAATATAGGTTTATGCAACCGACCAGCGAGAATCACAAAATATTAGGCTATATATCAGTTTGAGAAAAAAAAAAGGAAAGATGATGTAAATTATGCAAACATGAAGCTACTAATGATTCAAGGATGTGCATGGGACATATTCTTCCATACTTATCAAGAAAGGTGCAGTATAAGCAGCAAACAAGACATTATAGATAAACAGAGAATGTTTGAGCGAGGAAGTCAAGCCAACAAGTATCTGCACAAGTCGAACTTAAACGAAGAATGAACTTGAGCCCCTGCTGAATGAGTACTAAATGAAAAGAGTACTTTTCTTAATTCTAAATTAGATTACAGATTTACCTGCTAGAAGATCTCGAAAGTGTTCCTCCACAGCTAGAGAGAGCTTCTCGTAGCTGTTATAGGTTGACAGGTCTATTTTTCTGCCAATTGGAATGCCTTCCATGTTAATTTTCACAAACAAGCCCTTCTTGCAGTCCTCAAGCTTCACTTTGGACTGCAAATCCCCACTCTGTGGTTCAGGAGACGGCTTGGATGAGCCGGTAGCGAAATTCTTTCTGAAGGTGCGGATAGGAGGCCAACCAACCAGAGGAACAGATGCAGCTCTGATGTTAATGTGCCAAGCAGAATGCGAAGATAAATTAGACATATTATGGTTTGATCTAAAAGAAAAATGTAAGTGAAAACACTTCAGTAAGTACTCAAATGATGTAATCAAGTATCACTACATATATAAATCAGGACTTAACTTTTCTTCTGAAAATTAGGCATGCTATAAAAATAGCTAAAAGAAAACAAAGAATCATTGATAATAAATGTTTTGCAGAACATAAAAGGTTAATATCCTAAGAGCAAACCAGAGAATGAGAGGAGAAGAAAATAAACTTAGCTGGGATAGGCTAACAAATGGTTTCTAAAAAGAATTCAACTATGAAATGGCCAACACAAAGATCAGAGGGTAAACCAAATCCTGTCACATGCATAGACTACAATAATCCACATCACTAATACTAATTAGCTATTACTCAGCTGAGTATTTAGTATCCTGTGAAATAATAGATTATATAAGAGGCCACATGTGCACAAGAGAGATATTAACAAAGGCAAGGATACCATCATAAATAAACAAACATGTGAATAGATTGCAGAACTTACAGACACTTTGAAAGAAAAATCCAAGGTTTGAGGGGAAGATAATAATACATAGGTTCCATCATGGCTACCTTGTCTGAGAGTTCATGTTTGCCGCAGATGCATTTTCAGGGGCCTCATGTGCTGCCTTTCTCTCTTGGCTCTGAGGCAGCTCATCTTTTAGATTTGCCCCACTTGTCTTCTGCTGCTGAGGTCCTGAAATAAAGAGAAGAATATGGTACACAAATCTAAACCCATCAAGGAAGGCAAACATTTGGCTTGAAATACCTTCTGTTCTGGACTCAAATGTGCCAAAGAAACCCCTTTTGGATCCAGCACAGTGGTGGTTCTTGTTGTTGTTGTTGTTGGTGGTGGTGGTTTTGGAGGACTTGTAAAAGAGAGCAAGAGAGAGAACAGAGGGGTCTTTTTCTTCTTCAGTTGCAGGGAGGCCAAGTCTCAGCTCCAAACTCTCCACCTCTAGCTGTGAAGCTTTCATTTCCCCTCCTCTCCCATCATCCTTCACTATCCAATCTCTTTTGTTTGGCATCAAATCAAGCAGCTGAGGACATACTCCTCCTCTGCGACCTTCTTCCATGCCTATCTTCTCTAGTGGACCAAGAATGGAAAGAGAGTGACCAAATCTGCATTGAAGTAACACTTTCTAGTTACAGTTGCTGGTTCAAGAAGGGATTACTGAACAACCACTTCTGTTCTACTCTTTTCCTCGTCAATTAAATGTGAAAATTCAATTTTTGACAGGAAAAAATGAAACACCATCTAAAAGACCCACTTTTAAGAACAACTCTCTTGTGCTAGAGCAAAGGAGAAGCAAAAGAAAAAAGAAGAACACTATTCTCGAAGTTGATCATCATAGCCACTGATGTGCAAAGCTAATACCAGGAAACGAAGAAGAAACGTTGGAAAAGACTGCTCACCTTACGAAACAATGGCCTGTACCCAAGGAGACAGACAGGAGAAATCTCTTCCGGAACAGCGTAAAGCTTTTCACCCTTTCTTTTCCCCTGCAACACCGCCGCTCGAAGTTCCAAAACTCTCCGAGCTCGGGGAACAACACCAGTTGCACCAGCCCAACACTTCAAAGCCAAATCTTTCGCAGAGGATAAGCAACCGAAAAGGCTGTCGCGCCTGGAAAATGTCTCCTTGTCTTTGTCGTCTTCCCCCTCCACCGAATTCGGAGTGCGATAAAGGGGGGGATCAAGACAGCGGACACCGCAGCTGTAAACCGGGCCAAGAAGGGGAATTTAGAGCAGGGCTCACTCAAAGCAGGCGACAGTGGAACGAAGGCGCGCTGCTCCTGTGGCAGCAACACACGTTCCCAAGTCAAGCATAGGATAGAGATGCGAGTCACCCGCAGACACATCTGCTGTCGCCACCTCCCTCTCTCGCACGCAGCAAAAAGAAACACGAGAAAAGCACAAAAGCGTGCGCAACCAAAGCTACACGATGTCAAACACTTTGCACTGGTCGGTGACAACACCAATTATTATCAGTCCTGCTGTAGCTACTACTTCAGAGCACTTGGAGAACTCTGCGGTGGCACTGTGACTAGGCTTGTGGTGTTGGACATTGGAGCTGAGTTAATGCCAAGCGACGACAGTGGCCGGGGGGACCTCAGTAGATGCCATTATGAACTTCTGCAAGCATCCATGACTGCGATCTGTTGTTTAATCCTGTTGAAAGCTGGTAGCTTGTGGAGGAGGGAGGTGAGAGTAGGAGGGCCCTCGATGCAGTGTCTTCTGCTTTCTAGGCGGCGGTGGGGAGGTGGTCCAGCCATGGGAGGGGCTGTAAGATCATGGACTCTGATCTGCAGATCTTATTCCTTAGTGTAGGTAACAAAGATCAAACAGTGCCTTATTCCTTGGAATCTTAGACTATAACAAAGCCTCAATGTATGGTGAGAGGTGTAGTTGGAGAAGTGTTTTGGAAGTGATGGATACTTCTCGCCAGCTTTGAAAACTCCAAGCTTCTCTTTCGGTGCCAATGATAGAAGTTGATATTTGGCTTTCTCTTTTGATGGATTTGTCAAGATTCTTAGTGGCCCAAAATTTCTTACTCCAAGTAGAAATTGGTGACAGTAGCTCTCCTCCAATAAACAACCTTGAGAAATCTTTTACTGGTAACAAAAGAGAGTGTTTGGATGATCCACTCACTGGTGGATTGATTGCTTTTGAAGAAAGTTAGAAGAGATGGGGGAGATGCATTGAACTTGGAGATCCCATGATTAATGTTTCTCACTTCATGTCATCTTGTGAGAATGACATCCACTGTCCATCTGATTCATTGCTGTGGTTTCTCTTGTAACCTCAGTGGCATTTTGGCCTCAGAAATATACTTGACTATTAGGTCCTGCTTAATCTTACTGCAAAAATATCAACCGCTATAGATTGATGGCAGCCAAATTATTACACAGTGCACTGTTCTTCATCAAGACACCATGAGAATGCTTCAATATTTTTTTGTCATTTGCCATTTGGTTGTGAGGTTGGGAAGAGACATCCTGACATCAAGCACATCAATCAGCTTCAACTAAGTTGACTATAGGCTCAGCTTGTTCTTATTGGATGAAGATATCTATTGAACCAATCATTTGCTAATGGATCCCTATCTTGAGAACAAACAACAATCAAAAGATAAAAAGTTTGCTCTAATTTCAAAAGGTTAATGGGAATCATCTGTGCTCCACTTCATGAGAACTCACCAGCTAAAAACTCCAGCTTTCAGAACCTCAGTTATGTCTTAAATGTCTCCTCCTTTTGAACTGCCATGTGCATCATCTGAATGAACCAGACAATTACAATCATCTTCTTCTTCTGCAGCAGATGTATTCCCAGCTTCCGCAGTTCTCTACCCAGTTTTTAGGTCTATACCGATTGAACATATTCTTTCTCGAGCGTGGAATAAAGTGAGCCCACTGGGAATGCATGGCCATCATTGTAGCATGGAATCATTCCATAGCCTGCAGTTTCTTACCTTGCACAACGAAGATACTTAAGTTTCAGGCTGCGAGTCTGATTTGTCCTCCACGGCAGAAACATCATAGGGAACCACAGGAATTGCCTCCTCCAACATCTGCAGTTGAAATGAGAGAGAAAAGATCGATGGATCAGGTGATCACCAACTGTTCGATCTCCTCCCACGCCGTGTGTGTTGATTCCTTTATCCTGTTCCTCTCGACCTGCATCGGGTGAGGGTCTCAAGGATGAAGATGAGAAGACTAATTACCGGTATGCACGAGGCTGACGTGGTCTCAAGCAGGTCCATTGCGGTGGGACCCACACGTCGTGGGCCCGCACGTCAGGCATTTGGAAGGCGGCGACAACCCTTGGGAAGTTTCAGGGCTGACCAAGTAATGCGAAGGTGGTAATAATTCGCGGTGCACGACTCTTACCCACCAGCGATGTGTACGAACTCTGTGACGAGAAGTGTAATGGGTCCCCCTGTAAACATGGAAGGTATATTAGACGAGTAACGCTGTGATGGGTAATAAAACAACCTAGGGCAAGGGAACAAAACCAGCGACAAAAGAACGCTCGAGGTTTAAACCTCATATCCGTTGGGGGCGCTTCTTGTTCTTCCTCTTCGTCCTCGATCGGAGAGCGCAGAAGGGCACGAGAGGGGAGCGGTAGACCAGACGATGAAGAGCCACCGAGGGAAATCGGCGGCGAGGAAGCCTCTCCGCGACGTATCCAACGCCGCCAACGCCCTCCCATCGCGTAAGAAGAGCAGGGCCAAGGACGGGGCCGACGGCGCCCTCGATCGCCTCCTTCTCCTCCGGTCCGACCTCTCCAGTCTCGTCAGCCAGGTACGTCGATCGGAAACCCTAGATTGGCATCCGCTTCGGAATCAAAACCTTAGGGTTTAAATGGGACGCTAGTATGGCATCTTTGAGCATTAGAACGATTTGCTACCATCCTGCCAAAGATTCCGACTTTCAAGTCATTCTTTATGTTTGGTTATTATGATTTGGAATCTTGACACTTTTCTTGTGTTCTTGTATTGCTTTGGTTCCTGAGCAATGAGAAATACGGTGTGCTTGGCTTCCCACCTGTCCTGTTGATTGGGTGGTGGGAGGGTTCTGGATTTGATGTTATGTACTTTCTTCATCCTCAATGGTGTACAGTATTTTGTTTGTACATTTGCTCAGCTTTGAATCGCTGATATAATCTTATTCAAAAACCACAATTTATTTTCTAAGTAGTAGATGCACATTCTTTTGTATGGTCTATGCAATACCTGACAAAAGTTGGGTTATTGCGACTTGTTGTAGTTGTTGTTCTATTGTATATCTGATATATTGGCATTTAGAATGGTCATGTCTGGTTCTCTGGCTGTGGATTTTGCATTTGCATTCTTTTTGGCAGGTAATGTTCAAAATGTTCTATTTTTTTGGTACTTAAGTGATATGCAGCTCGTCATTGATAATTTTTGCAGATTGATGAATTAATTGCTCAAGCTATGGAGAACAGAACAATAAGCAAGAAAGCAAGCCAAGATATTGATTCCTTCAGAAGTATATTATCTGACATGCATTTCTCTTTGAAGGTATGTGTTAAATTTGGTTTGATTGCTGATTTGAAGTTTATCACCTAATTGTATTGGTTGTCGCCGAGGAACTTACATTTCTGAGGACATTGAAGTAGATTGGATCTACCTTTCAAAACTGGAGAAGGTAAGATTTATGCATCATATTGCCACTTATGGTTTATTTGCTCTTATGCAGCCATGGTTCTCAAGACTACGGCAATCATTTGACACTTCTTTAACAGCCACTGAAAACAAGCTCAAGTCTTTAGATACCAATCCTGTTCCTGGTGCAGTGAGAGATAGAGATGCTGCTGCAAGCAGCAGAAATGAACCTGAGCTCAACCTGATAGTTTCTTCTTCACCTCTTGTCTCTTGGCGTGCCGGCACCTGTACTATTGATTGTGGAAGACAACTATTTCTGCTAACACCATTACCCAAAGGCAAACCATCTGTGTCTAAATGCCCTGGATCATCCAAACATATGGCAGGAGTATTCACAGAGAAAGAGCAATCTGGTCGTCATAAGTTACCTCCATTTCCGGTTAATGTTGGTAATTCTTGCCGCGATCTGATCGAACGAGTGGAAGAAAAACACGAACCAACTGGTTTGTCAAATGCTCATTCTTTTGGACAAATGAGTGGTGCATTGGATTCTGGATCTGCTTCTCCTTTGAGTCTTTCAAATCAGAAAAACAGGGAAAACGAGATAACTTCGCGCTTACCAAAGAGTTCTGGAATGCTTGATCCAATCTCTGAGCCAAGTCAGCAGGATGGAGTACCTGAGGATGACAATGATGCTGAGGTTTCAGATAGCTTGTCTATGACGTGCCAGGAGCTCTTTGGTATGCAGGCTGCTCCTGTATTCATGAGTCGGAGGAAGAAAGTTGATGGAACTCTTAATTGGTTCTTATCACCCCCCAGGACTTGTATTCTGCTGGAACCATCAGATGAGAAGCCATTTCCAACCCCTGCGAACAGCCAGCTCTCACTTGCCACTCCTATCTGTAAGAATTTGGATAGCACCCATGAAGATAAGCTGCCTGGAGAAACCACACTCAAGAGAGAGCTTTGGACCAGATTCGAGGCTGCATCCTCGAACCATCTACACCTCGATGTTTCTGTTTTCCAAGACACAAGAAGAAAAGGTTTTCTCGACATGCTTGAAGAGGTTTCTGGGAAGACATCTGAATTCAGATTCTAGAGTAGATTGACAACAGCAAATCGTAACCAGCTGCTAAATTGTGTTCCTCTAGTTGGGTTCCCTATACTTTTTTTATTGATTCCATATATCATGTAACCCGTTGAAGCAGCAGATTACCTGAAAATTTTCCTGATAGTATGAGTTCTTTTCAGTAAGGGGGCATTTTTAAGAATCTGCTTCTCTGTTCAATACATCTCTGCATGCTTTGGTGTGACCCAATTGTTCTTCCCACTTTAGTAGGCAGAAAAAGCACAGTGCAGATTCGATGAGACGGACAAGACATGGATTGTTGGGCTTCTTGCTGTTCAATACATTTGCATCCGTATAATTACGAAAATAAAATATCTAAATTTATTTATTTATTTTATTTTAACTTAGTGGTGACAGACGACGGTATGATTGTTATGAATAAGAAGAGTTACGATGACTTACTCAGCGTCGAATTTTGAGACTCATTTTTTTATCGTCGTCGGATACACCTAACAATCACTGTCTGCCAACCTTTCGGAGCTTCTCTTCTTGGCAACTGCAGGGAATAGAATTCCTTTGACATCAACGACGATGCGGCCACCATCTTCGCTAGTGGGCGTTTACGAGGGTCTCAAGGTAAGAGGAATTCGGATGATGCAGCTGCGGAAGGGGACAACTTGGGGGCACCGCCATGGAGTCGGCGAGGAAGAGGCAGTCAAAGTCGGAGCGAGCGTTGTCCTTGTGGAGAAGACACCAACGACGTTGACGAAGGAAGAGCACAGAGGCAACGACAAGGAGGATGGCGACGATACAATTGCTAAGCAATGAAAGGGCCGCTCAACACCTGTATCGCGACCCTTTCTTTGCTCGACAATTGTACTGGTGTTGACGCAGATGGCGATCACCACCATGGCATCTACGACGAAGATAATGGCCGCCTCACCGTCGTCTGTCATCACTGATGTTCGCCGCCATTACCAAATTAAAATTATTTTTTTATCGTTTGTTTTATATTGTCGTTGGTAAAACCGAATTAAAACGTAGGGATCGGGATAGCATGCGGCGCTTCTGCTCAATTTGTATCAGTAACCACGGCAGGAGTGAGGAAAAAGGTGTGGCTTTTTCCGGAGGGCGGCTACCTATCGAAGTCATTCGTCGTCTTCTCTCCGACTCCTTCCCTGTTCTCCTCCCGGCCCGAACCTCCGACTTTGCCGCAGCCCTCCACCAATCCGACTCCTTTCCTCCGCTCGGCAGACCTGGTCGGTAGCGGGTTATCATCCACCGGCTGATGGGTCCTCGCCGCCCGCCGCCGCCTGGTGCTGGGCAGGTCAGCCTGGACCACCGGCTTCGTCTGCACCCGGCCCCTGCGCGCGCCGCTACGCGTCTCCGGCATCCTTTACCGATTCGACCCCATCCGGAAAGCCCTAGAATTTGCGGATCGATTCGGACGTTGCTCGCAAAAGAGACAGGGAGCAGACGCCCCGACGGGTAGGATCGACGGGTCCGATCTCGTCTTCGATGCGGAGAGACGCAGGGAGGGGGGCTTCAATGGATGGTTTGGCTTCTTGTAGCGACGACAGAGAGAATCTTTCCCGAATCTATTTGACGGTGTTTAGGATTCTCTCCAATAACATCCGAGAATCTTGACCCGATTCGATACGATACAATCCGACCCGTTTGACATGATGTTGCCAAGGGAGGAAAATAAAACAGCGGAGTTGGAGAGCAGTCGCGCGTGGAACGAGGAGGAGAACGATGGTTGTGGTGGATTGGGACGCGGTGGACATGGTGTGCTCGCTCGAGTTCTGGAGGATGGCCGTGTGCTGGACCCTCTCCCTCCTCTACTCCCACCTCTACCTCCTCCTCGCCCCGCGCCTCTCCGCCCTCTTCCCCTCCCTCCTCGGACCGACGCCACCACGCTTCCCTCGCCGCCGCTTTGCACCCGGCCCTTCCTCCCCGATCCAGAGACCCCTCGGCGTCATCACCGGCGTAAGTGCACCGCTTGCACACTTAACTGGCTTCTCGGAAGGATAACGAAAACTTTCCGTTGTTTGCAGGCGAGTTCCGGCTTGGGCGCGGCCGCCGCAAGAGCCCTGGCAGCGGAAGGCTACCATGTTATTCTTGGTAAGGACATATTAGAAATCTATTTTCTGAGCCATTTCCGCGAACATCTGATCCACATGTATTTTCTTTCTCGAAGGTACTATTTGACTTATTAGCACTTAGATTTTTGCACAAAATTGATCTGTCATGCTGTGTTAAAAATTGAATAAACCAAGATCTTACTATGACTGCAATTTTAGAGAGATGTGAAAGCACAAGCAAGTGTTCCAGATGGAAAATATGACTCAAGAACTTTGCTAAAGCGTAGAATGAATCAGTTTGTTTCTGCAGAGCTGAACAACCAATGGGGATCCTTGATGAAAGTGGCCTGAGTTCTATGCTTGGTTCACTGAAGGTGGACTGGAACCCAGAAGTGGTGTTCTGAAAGAACTTAAATTTGGCAAAAATAGATAAAGATAGTTCCAAAGTCATTTATAAGGACTGTTTCTACTTGACCAACTATGCTATGTGCTATTAGAGTTGTATTTACGTGGAACTTTTTTTCTATTATTTTAATGTACTTATTTCTTCCTTTAACTTTTAACCATGGATGTTTCATCCATCTTGTAGACTCATGCAATGCTTGACTATTATGTAGCTTGATGAGTTCCATATATTTGTATGAGTTGACTTGGACTTGAGTTTTTGACTGGCATGGATGGTTCTTTTGTAGCACATCCTGTGCCAATCTTGTCTAGGCTAATGATTCTTTTAGGCATATTATGGATAAATTTAACTGATATGTAAACTTTTTTTCATAGTAGATGTCATACCAATCTTGGGTAAACTGATGGTTCTTTTAAGTTTTAACCATATTATTATTCTTTCCAGGATAAATTCGAATGATCTTTAATTGTTTCTTTCATACTACATCCCATGCCTCTTTGTAATATCTTAATATTAGCTAAACTGTTCTTTTGTATGTCTGACTGCCAGCTGGGCGTAATCCTCAGACACTAACTAAGGTATGCATGATTGCTGGAGTTATATCGTCCACTTTTCATACCCTGTTTGCAACTTATGTTGGTTCTTCACTGACTGTTTCCCTGCCTTGTTGACAGACTATTCAAGAGATCAAGAAACACGACCAGAATGCCTGTGTGGAATCATTTCAGGTTGACATATCATCCATTTATTCAATTATGAAGTTTGAGAGTTCAATAAAACAGTGGCTGGAGGAGTCTAATCTGCATCCCTCAATTCAACTTCTTATAAATAATGCTGGAATTTTGGCAAAATCTTCCAGAGTTACCGCCGATGGATTTGACCAGTAATCCCTCAGTTCCTTTTTACAAAGTCCTTTACTGTATTAATTCCTGTGTTCTTATTGCCAGTTTTCTTCTCTTGTTATGTACTTTCTCCACTTTAGAAGTTCTTCTGATTTAGTAGAGTATGAAGGATTGATGCCTTCTTATGAACACTTGTGCATATTCTAATGTGCAAAACTTCATATATTTTGCCTTCTTGTGAGTACTTTCTCCATTATATAAGGCAGACAGTTATTCTTAATTGGATAGGTTAGGTAACGACAGAAACTCAGTGATGGAAACCACTAAATTACAAGAAACATAAGCTAAGAGCAACCTTATGAGAATCGTTGCTTTTATTAAGGATCCATGAACTTAAAACTATTGATCATAGAGATGACACATGATAAAATTGCTCACTAAATTCTTTGAATCTTTTATGATGTGGTCCCATATCTTGTGTCTCTAATAAGCTGAGCCAACAGTCGTAAGCAACTAAGCATTGGAAGGCCCGTTTGTCACTCTTGAGAGTATGAACTGTTTCCTTGACTACTGACAGTATTTCTGTCTATCAGGAATAAAGGTCTGTGTGCTAGTTGATAGAATGTGTGTTTCCTGTCCTATTTCTCTTCTTGTGAATCGGAAAACTTTTTTGAGATATTGAGCTGGAAAATATGCAACACATTGCTAAATATGCAACACATTGTCTGTTTCTTGATTTTTATATACAAATTACTGAATGTTTACTGACATGTAACAGGTCAAGCATTGTGACATTGGCAAATTATAATTGTATGTTTCAAGTTGTTGAAGAGATGTCCATTTCTAAACCAAGATATGTGTGGTTATGCTTCGTGTATCCTTGAAACAAGTAATAATGATTCTTAATCCAAATGCTCTCTAAAGATCATAGGTAATTTATCTTGTTTTATGTTATAATCATGTTCCATTTTAGTTTTTTAAGCAGAATAGCATTTCATATTTATTCTTATGAGAGTTGACGGTTTGTCAATATTTTCATTTTTTACTTGCCATATTGTCTGGACAAACGTTTTCTTACTTAACATCTAAGATTGCTGTCTTGATTTTGTTTTTCTTTTTACAGGATGATGGAAACAAACTACCTTGGTGCATTCTTTCTGACCAATATTATGTTGCCACTGCTCAAGAATAGCCCTGTACCTTCCAGGATAGTTAACGTGACATCTTTTACTCATAGAAGTGGTGAGTGTAAATTAAAACCACTAAATATGCAATATTTCATTTCTTGGGAATTCTAAATTTTGAAGTTGACATCTTCCTGTTTAGTGAAACTGCATTGAACATTGCTTCCACATTACTATGTGTATCAAATACTAACCACTTTGTTCCCTTATTTTTGTTCATAGTATCCCATGTTGACGTCAATATGGGAAACCTGGCCAGAGAAAATCTCCATTGCTTGTCTACTTTGGGCAAGTATCAGTTTGCCCAAACCTATGAGTACTCTAAATGTAAGTTCAGTAATAGAAAACATAGTGTCCACTTATATTTCATTGTTAATGATCAGTGATTTCATGCATGACAGTTTGTACTCTGCTATTCTCATATGAGCTTCATCGCCAACTTTATGTGATGGATCCAGCTTCAAATGTCTCTATCATGTATGTGACCATACTCAATAATGGCAAGACACAATCTTGCTTCTGTTTACTTATCTACATTTTATTTTGTTGGTACTAGAATTTTGTTTAAATATCATAAACCTTTTAATTAGGCTAAATGCTGCCTATAAATAAATAGAAGTACATTATTCTATAATTGCTACCAACCATACAGTATCATGCATCGGTAACTAAATGCCATTTTTTTTAGTTGATTTTAAACATAAATTTCTGGATTCCCAGGATAATCTTTTATTTGGTTGTCCTTATAAGAAGTCACCATTTGATGATGACCAGCTGAAATATCCAATAATTTCTTATCAAATGTACAATGCTGTTGTGGGTTGCAACAGAGAAAGGTCTTGAACCATCATCATATTCATTTTCACTGATTTAAAATGAAGAAGCCTTCAGATGCTGACTATTGATTTACTTTCTTATATTTTAGGGCCGCTGATCCTGGAGCAGTGGCAACGAACATAATGAGGGAACTTCCTCCATCCCTAAAAAGGCTGGCCTTTTTGGTTCTAGGATTCCTGCAGCTTCTGCAGTCTCCTGAAATTGGGGTTGACTCTATCATGGACGCAGCATTGGCACCGCCTGTAAGCTTCATTGATGTATCTGTCATGGATCATCTTTTTATTCAGAAGAAACTCGTATTTATTGTTTGTTATGTATTTTGTTCTAGGAAGCATCAGGTAGATACTTCTTTGGGGCCAAGGGTAGGACAATTAAATCTTCTCCAGTTTCATATGATGCTAGACTTGCAGAGACACTGTGGCTAACTTCTTTCAAGCTGTTTGAAGAATGCAAAGCAAGAGTAGTAAACCAATGAAAGCTTAACTGACTCAGTCACATTAACTGATTGGTAATGAGAGAAGAATGCTTTTTTGTGCTGTGGTATGTCCTACGATCTGTATGTTCTGTTTCCTATTTGTGGACGGATGTCCTGGTTGAAACTTCTTTTTCTATATGAAGAGTAGCCAAAAGAGATTTTAACAAAAGAGAGTTCTATAAAGCTTACTAATTTCTATTGGTGCAGCCAAGATTTACATTGTTTACTTTGCTCTGGCTAGTATTTATGGTCAAGTCCTATAAGTTTTTAAGTCAAGATTTATGTACTATTTCTCTACTGTGGTTAGTTGCTAATTTAACTGTATTATGAGCTTCATCAAGAATTAGGTCGAATAGCTTTATTTTTTGTCGGCCCATGAGTACAAAGACAAGCTTAATTTGGATTGACACATTGCTTCTGTCCATTGTTTCAGATGCCACTGAAGCTGCATATGCCTGTGGAGATGGCAGCACAGCAATACAGTGGGAGTGTAAAAGCTATTTATTCTGGAGCAAAGATCAGCCTGAGTTACTTGTGTTTTCATGAGAGAGTGCTTTCAACCACAGACACTTTTTCTCTATAGCTTGCCTGCCTTGATTTCTTCAGTTATCTTGTTTGTACTTTGAGAAATGCCACTTTGTTTCACCTCAACAATTACCATGTGAATTGAGCCTGCTTCATTCAAGAAAATTTGAACTCACTAGTGTGCTCCCGTTTTAGTTAACAGTGAATAACTCTTGAAAGATGTTCAAATTCTACTTATATGTGAAGAATCAGCTGTTATGAGTTTTTGCTGGCTGCTGAGTTCCTACATTGGCTTGTGTTGCCTTGAAAGATTAAATGTGACATGTTTGAAAGATTAAATGGTCCCAAGTGATGCTTGCTATTGACTATCACCTAAATCTTATATGGTTAATGGTCATATGTGGATTTCTGAAGGATGTCTTGGGAGATTTCAATCACAGGAACCTCCACACAGGACACAGTGACAGCCACTGCAATCATCTTTCAGTGTGATTTCTTGAAAACAGTTCCCTCTTTCTATTGCACAATTTATAGGACTTGCATTGATGCCACGCAGATAAAATTTCTTTACATTAAAGAATATGTATGCCTGTTGTCCAGACCAATAGCCTCCAGAAGCATATAAACCTCAGCTTCCTCTCCAATGACTTCCACTAAGAAATAGCAGAATCAAAAGTGCGATAAATGTTTACTCTGTACATAGCTTTCCAAATCTTGTCTTGAGCAAACCTTTCCCATAGCTCAGTTTCGCCATTCTGCATGACTGCTTCTTTATCAGCCTGTACATCGAAGGCCTCTCCTCCGGCACAAACCCGAAATCATCGCAGTACTCCTGCATGCCTGCAACCATAAATTGCCATACAAAGGCTCCTGCACCTGATCTGCCCTTCCGTGCAGATCTGTAGACGATGTTGAAGATGGACTTGTAGAACACATCTCTGTGGGAGTGATCAAAACCCTTGGTCTTATCGGAGAGGCCGAATTCAGTGAACAAGACAGGTTTCTTGAGTTCTTTGTCCCCGTCTTCGATGTGAGATGTCAACCATCTCGAGATGTACTTCATTTTCTGATCCAGTCCTGCACCTACTTCCCTACAGAAGAACATTGTATATGGACTGGTGCATGAATTAATTGTCATGAGACAAGAAACTAACACTTGTAGATAGTAGTTGGTTCCTACCATTGATCGGGGTAGATATGAACAGAAGCAAAGTCTATTTCTGGTACTCTGGAGTTTTGGACGAAATCAGAACCCACCGTGCTAAACCATTGTCCAGGGTTCACATTCAGCTTCTCTGGTGGACTTGTGGAACCATAAAACCCCTCGAGTCCTATAGTCAAGAGATGATTTTTGTCGATTGATTTCACATATGCTGCCATTTCTTCGATCCACTTCTGCAGAATTCAAAAAGAACAAAACCAACGGAATTCCAAATTCATTCACATCATGGCTGTAGCTTTTGCTGATTCAGAACAAGAACATACTTCACAACCCAATCATCTTGCATAAAATTCTAGCAATTTGATGGCACGACTCATTATTTCCTACTACAAGATTTTCATTTTTTTGTTTGTTCGGTTTCTTATCGTTTCTGCAAACTTTGCAATGGTTCAAATCGCTAAATAACTGAATGTGTTCTAAAAACATAATCGGTAAGGTCATAGGAAAATTTTGGGCTTCCAACACCTAACCCATGATCAAGACTGCAGGATCTGGTACTGAATGCTGCACAAAGAGATGACCATAAGAGTATATAAAAAATTCCATTCAATCATCTCATCCTTGTTTTGCAACTTGCAAATAGCTTATATCAAAACTTGAATGGTAACAAGAAGATATATGCCAAGGTATCCCTATCCTATCTTGTTCTCACACATTTAATATGTTTTATTAAGTAGACATAATCTTAATTACTTTGATTTCTAATTTGCCAATAAATCTGGTCTTTCAATTGATAAGAATAATGAAAAAGCTGAGGTGTATAGCACTAGAAATGCTTTCTAAAGCAACTTGCTAGTTTCAATCTAAAACACATTTGGGACATCTATTTCTGCATTATCTAATTATAGGCTTCAGCAAACCAAGAAACTAGTCTTGAATTCAGACCACTTCATTCATTTACGGGATATAGTGAAGCCCAATTTAAGAGATGATGGTCAGAAATGTTTCTTTCATTTGCATGTGCTACTTGCAGCTTTTCTCGGATCCTGTACTATGTTACCAAGCAGACTACTATGAGCTCTAGCTACCAGGGTAGATGATGAAAGTGACATGCAAAACATGAAATCACATCACATTTCTAGTCATTAGACCTCCGAGAAATTTCAAGAGAAGCTACTGGTCTTGGACATGATTAATGCATATTAGACCTCTCTTTTTAGCCCTTGTTATCTTTCTTTGTATCAGCAGGACAAGGAGATAATTAACTTAGCAGGAGTAGTGTTCTTATTATACGAGAAGAATATGACGATCACTAAGTTTATTCTTTGATTCTGAAGGTTCTCTGTTGTTATCATCCACAGTAAACTACTTTTCCTGGAATCGCACTGGTTCCTCACAACGAATTGTAATGTGAAGAAGAGACTTACTTGGAGAGTGTCACCAGACACATCAGACATACATCGTGGTTCGTTCATGAGTTCCCAAGCAAAAATTGTGGGATCATCTTTATACTGAATCCCATTCAAGTGGTTCTTCCTTGTCAATATAGTCTGAAAAAAGAACACAATTAAGTTGAGGAAATAGATCAGATCCATCTCATGTACCAGCAGAGTATACATCTTAATCACCAAAAGTGCATGATATTCTAATTGAGTGTATGCTACTGGAATGCTAAATCACTTAGAAAAATTATTCCTACGATTTCGCTTACATATAACTATGTGAATTGAGGTGCATTTCAAAGAACCATCATGTATTAACTATCAGTTCCTGAACATTTGAAGGAATAATATAGAGATGGAATTTACCTCTCCACAAAAAAGAAAAAAGAAACTTTTGGCAAGAAAGACATGTCACCTTTAGGTAAGTCTTGAAATAACTGCGGATCGATGGATCAAAAAAGAAGGAATCATTTGAGGAACTCAATCCAATTCCTTCTTCCCATGCCCATTTGACATACTGAGTCTTTCCTCCATAAGCCTCCAGATTGTTAGCCAAGCTGAGCAGCAGCCGAATGCCATGTCTTTTTGCTTCCACGATGACCCAATCGAGTGCCTGCAACTCAAGTTATCACTGCATATGACTGAACTTAAACAAAGTAGAATTAGATGCAAGAACAGATAGAACGAAATTTCCATCTTTTTCGAAGATGATCAACTAATAGAAGTCATTTTTCTGTTTCTTCCATTTTTGGCTGAAGAACTGGGCATGTCAAAGCCTATCATTCATCTGATCAGGTTTTAATGAATGCACAAAACCAGAGGAAACACATCAAATAGAAGTGAGATGAAACAAAGAAACAACAACTTTTGCAAAGCTCATCAATCCTTGCACAAGTTTGGGAAGTATGACAAGGCCAGCCCTGCCAAGTAGTAGAGCTCAAGGAAGGAAGAAGAAATCATTCTAGAGTACCAAAGGAAAATGAACATGCAGATGTACCAAAGAAAAGGAGAAATCCAGATTTGTGGACCTCTCAAGAACCTTCACCATCAAATGCTGGATGAACATTGATACCTTGAAGACGCGTTCGTCAAAATGCCCGAGAGACACTTGCAGAGCATTGTAGGCGCCATCATTGAATGCCCAAGTCCTGCAAACTGTGAGCCCCATCTTAGCACCAGCTTGCAGCATCGCCCTCACCCTCGGCCTGCTAACCTCCTCCACGGCTTGATCCATCAGCCAGTACGAGTTCCAACCGTTCACATAGAATGCCTTCCCATCCACAGTGAACCGAGTCCCATTCCTTCCCACAAAGCTCATCTCAGGCCCTCTCACATGGGTGCCAATATCCCAAGCCAGGTCCCCAAAGGACATGTATATGAAGGCAGCACAAGATGCAAGGCCAAGAATAGGGTAGAAGACTCCATTGGTTGCCAGCATTTTGTTGAAAGCTGGAAACCCAAGTCCTCAACACCAGCTTCAGACCAGGGCAGCAATTCCTCTCAGAAACTGAGATGTGTAAATGGAGATGTGGGAATCCTGCTCAGATCAAAGGAACCCAGAAGAAGAGGAAAGGAATGATTAGCTCAATTCTTAGGCAACTATATGACAAAATCCCTCTTGCCTCTTCCAACTTTATCAAAAGGTCTGCCACCAAATACAGACATCAAACCAAGGAAGAAGAAGAGAAAAAGAATTGCGCTACACGGATCGCATACAAACCAGTGTCTCCACTATGAACCCCAGGTGGACCCAATGAAAGAATACTCTGGTCTCTTACCTGACAGTACTCACATGTGACTTCCTTTTCAAGAACACATAGTGGCCACTGATGCCACACGCACCGCAGCAAGATGAAGGCTTGAGATTGTATTGGGATTCGAAAAGAAACAAGATTGTCCGTGAAAAGCGAAATCCAACTGTTACCTGTCATTCCGGAGAGGGAAGGGAGTGTGTTGTGATGTTGTCATCAGCTTCTCTTAGCTCACCAGCTACCTGACCTTCTCTCACAGTATCACTAGTTAGATGCATTGTGCATGTCATTCATATGATTTTTATTCCAAATCTACAAATCTGGAGCAGATAAAACCGATTGGATTCACTCATCTATTTGCGTGTGCTGTACATCAAGCATTCTGTAACTGAGGTAATTGTGTATGCCTGACTGCTCTCTGTCTCTGTGAAGTTGAGAAGATCTTATGTTACACTGTAAAAAAAGAGACACCACAATATTTGTTTGAAGGACCTTTGCAACACAGACTTAAGATGAACACTGTAGATGGTCATAGATCTGATCTCTCTCTCTGGTTATAATTTGATGAAATCATCATTGTCTTATCAAATAAGGTTGTCTGTTGACCTTTTAGGTGTTAGGTAGTCTTCTGTCTTGTCTTTACATGCTCTGATACCTACTCTGCCCATCATGTGATATCTTAATCAGGTCATTTTTCTGGTCATACACTAATAAGTCAATTGTGACTTCTGCTGCAGGTTTTCAGCAATTTGTGGGTGCAACTTGAAGAGCCTGCTACTGTGGAGACATCATTGAAAGAAAACATGGTCCTTTGTTGTGTTCCCACCATTGTTTGGAGTTGGATCATGATTGCCATGAAACTCAAAGTTTCATCTGCTCATCTGAGCCGAAAACAGCATCTGCTGCTTCACTTGTAAACTACTCAATGCTGACTGCATCACTTTTCCAGTCTAAAAGACTGGTTGGCTTGCACAAATCATAGCCAGGAAAGATTCTTGTCTGCAGTCACCTACCAAGCTCATTGTAGAACAAGCCAAGAACAGTGTGCTACATCAGCTTCCTTAGACTTCAAATTGAGGCAAATAAAATTGCAATCTGGACCCAAAACAATGTACCAGTCCATTGGAGGAGCTAAAAAGCTATTTAGTGGACCAAATCACCCTTGAAAATGGCACAGCTCCAAGCTAAGTTTGAAGCTAGAATATGTCACAGCATACATCTCCAACAAAGATAGCAATAGAGATATAAATATCAGTTCCAAACAGGTTAACTTCAGATAAAGAAATTGAAGACTTCATATGAACATGCTACATGGAGGCAGACAACAGTCTTCCACCTTGCAAAGGCCTACTATCTGAATCATGAGAACCATATTTGGTGGCAGATAACTTTCTATGCTTGCAACACAGTGACCCAAAATAACTGAGTCCACATGAATATGAATCAAGTGGGTCAACTCCAAATTTGGATGGCCAATTCCTGGGTAATAAATTTCCCTGAGATTGTGAACTCAACAAGACAGACACTGGTGAAATACTCCTAGCAATTCCACCTTCCAAGCACATCAGTTGCAGTTCTATGAACTTGAGCAAAATGCTCTGCTGATGAATCGATGGGAGTCCTAACAAATGGGAAAACATCTGCTGCTGTCTCATGCCACAGCCGGATGTGTTAAGAGTTCTTCAGAGCTATAATATGCTGGTGAAATTGCTGTTGCAAAAATCACAAATCTCTCATTAGCTATTCAGTACAGAAGATGAAAGCTGAAGGCTACAAGCCGCAATGCGTAGAACAGACAAGTGATAACTATAAGCTAAATCATTAATTGATTTCTGATCTCCTCTCTCGGAAAATGACTGTTCTTATCATCACCCAAAGAACTACCATCAGTGCAAATGCTATGGATTAATGGTCGCACAGCACAAACACCTCGCAGCTGTTGTTTGGAGGCAGAGAAGTAGCCATGGAAATCGGTCTTCCCTTTAGCAACTATGTTATATTAATTGCATATCTCAAATGGAGTAGATATTATCCACCAAAGCCAAAGATGTGAGGCCTTCTTTACTACATATGTTTCATAGGCAAAAGAATGACAGAGTGTGATTTATGACTGACAGCATTACCAACATCATGAAAACATCAAACATCAGATAAGAAAACAGCGTAATTGAAATCAAGCAAGCAACAGCTTGCCATGAAGAACTCAGCTCCAGTTTCTTCTGCTACAGGAAGTGTTCCTTACGTCTCCATGTGGATACGTATGCGCGTATAGTTAGTGCATATCCCTGGCACACCTGGTGATGGTGCTGCAGCCTCGGCGGTAAGGATTCGCCCGCTTTTGCCGTTGGCAGTTGTAGTAGGACTGCCCTCGCCGGTTGCACGGCACCCGGTTCTTGCTGAGCGCGCCGTAGCTTATGAACCTCGCCCCGGAGCGCGCGAGGCTGCGCCGGGTGGACTCCGACTCCATCGCCATCTCCTCCTCCTCGTCGACGCAGTCTCCGACCCGTCCGTCGCAGACTGGCGACGCCCGAAGCCCGCCATCTCCACTCGCGAACGGAGCGACGCTCCATTCGTTGACGCCGTAGGTGGCTTCTCCGGCCGAGGCCGCCTCGGCCAGGAGAAGTGCTGCCAAGAGGATGGGTACGAAGGCAAGTCGGAGAGCCATCTTGAGAAAGCGCGCAACAGGAAGGGAAGAACCGGACTGTGTTGAGTTCTCTGTACGTGGCTGTGCTGCAGAGAGACGAGGAGAGGGTGGATGGTGTTGTTTGCAGAGGAAGGGGGGTCTTAAAGGGAATGGCGTTGCGCAATGAACGCGCATGGGAAGGTGTTTGATCGTATTTAGAGGAGGAAGCCCGCTTCTTCCTCCTGCTGTGATTTGGAAGGCAGGTGCTATTCAAGGGAGAGAGAGAGAGAGAGCGTTGACCATCAGACACCTGATGATCTACGTTGACCACCACAACACGCAGGCCGGGTCTGGGTCGGGCCGTGGCACGTGCTTTTTCACCATCAAAGTTTTACTCGGCACGATCACCTGCGCGGTAATCCAATTATCACCAATCATATGTCAGGTAGCAAGACGGGTACATACAAAAGTACTCAGGGTTCGCGTCGGGTTCCGCGGCGAAAACCGGGTTCGACCATGGCGCACCCGCTTAAAGCGCGGGAGTGAGTAAAGAACACCAAAGCCCTAAACAGTAACGATTCGGCCACCGACGCCCGTCGCTCTCTCGCTACGAACCCGAGCTTGGAAGCGCTACCCATGGAGATCAATTCAGGGAGGCTGCCCTTTGATTTGCCCTTCCACCCTGCCTCCCCTCTCGTGGCGGACGGCGGTCTTCACCTGTGAGTTCCGATCCTGGCCACGATTCTAACTCTGTCATGTGGACGAAGCTATGACCTAATATCTGTCGAAACCCGCGCTGACAGGTACCGCTACGCCGCCGAATCGCAGCCTCAAAGGTGCGGTGGTTTAGTTTCTTCACTGATTTTGATGCGTCGGGTTTGCATGATTTAAAGATCGTGTTCTGAATCCGCTAGTTCGTAGCTTGTTTTCTTCATCTCGTTCTGGTTTATGCGTTAAAGATATAATTTTGATCCTCTGCATTGCAAATAAAGGGATGCAATTAATCGCCTTGTCAACTTAACGGAGACAACCATTGCATCTGGCGATGATAAAGGATACATAAAGGGTCCATCTTATTCCTCTTCTTGTCATTGTACTAGTTGTTGACTATTGAATATTCAATTGTAGCACCTTACCATATATTCCAGATGGTTGATGTTATATTTCATCTGTGGTGCTAGCAAACTTTGTAATTGTATTCGAGTACTTGTTATCATTTACTTACTTGAGATTATATCCGTATGTACATTATGTAAATGCTAGTGAAGTTGTAAAATACTCTTTTCTTGTTCTTAACATTATACATATGGTTTTCTTCAGAAATTGCTTTTCCTGGTGCTTTTTATTGGTGCTTTTTGTGTTCACTTTCTTTAAAATTGATATACAACTTTTTATGAATTATTTTGTGACAAGCATGATCTCTGGCTTGTTGGTTTCTCAGACGGGTTTTTTTGTATTTCTCTCTCTCTAAAATTTGCAGGGTTGGGATATCCGGAAAGGTGATTGTTGCAATACATTTCATGCCCATGAAGATTATGTCTCAGACGTTTCTTTTGTCTCTGATACCATGCAACTTTTGGGAACAAGGCAAATAATGCATTTTCTGGATAGTTCATTAATCTTCTTTATTTTTTATTCCTTTCCTTCGGTTATTTTATTGAATCCTTGGCTGGTCATCTAAGTTTTATGTGCATAGATATGTTGAGTTCTGATTATCATATAGTTTATTTAAGTATTTTTTGTGTTCCATCATACATTAGAGTGGATTCTAGAGAAATATAATATTAGACAAAGGCTGATTAGAGACAATAGTTATCTTATTTATTCTATCTTTTTTCTCTTGTCTCTTTCTTACTCTCCCTTGGAGGTTACTACCTTCCCTTGAAGAGAAAGGAATGCTCAGTTGGAAGCAATTCATCTTATCATAGTTATTGTTTTTCTTTGTGTAGTTATAGTTTTTTTAATTAAAGTGTCCCCTTTCTTTCTCTTGACATCCAAGGTAGGTCAAAGTAGATTCAATTTTCTATGTTCTGATATTGATCTAGTGGTTGAGTATCTGAAAGAAGAATTTTGGCATCTTTCCTTGACAGCTGATGAATCATAGATAACCTGAAATGGACTTTTAGCTTGGGCAACAGTGTAGTTAGGAAACCTTCTGACTAAGCCTCAGTTCTTTTAAATGCTTCTGACTAGTAAAGTTAAATATGATACAATATGAGCAAAATGTGGACAGTGGAAGGCACAAGAATGTGCAAAATTTCAAACATAAGCATTGGACTGGGATCCATTGGAGAATTAGGAGATCATGATTGGCTGTTGAATGTAGGATTGAAAGTGGAGATATGGTTCTTTTGATAGGCAAAAAAATAAAAACATGGAGAAATCAGGGGAAATTTTCTTCTCCTTATCTAGTTCTAGTGACTGCTAGAAACATGCTAGTGAGAAACCATTGCCAGCCTGCTAGGCCTGATTTTCTCTTGCCTTTTCTTTCTCCTTGTTTCCTCCTTTTTCTAACCATGTTCTCTGCATTGCCATCTTCTGCTTAGAGGACTGGTTGATCTTTAAGGATTAGGGGGTGAGATGGGAACCTCAGATAGGTAGTTCTGGTTGTAGGTTTCCAAGTATCCATGTTATCATGTCATGCTTCCAGAAACGGAATTCTTATTCCAGCTGAAATTTATGTCATGGTTACCTATGTTTTTTTTTTTTTCCCTTTGCAAAGGATAAGTGATAAATATGAGATTCGATCCTAAGATCTTACGACATACTGTCAGAATCTTTACCAGTTAAGTTAGTTACCATCTTCGTTTTTTATAATCAGTCTTAGAAAATTGAGATCACTGTTAGTTTTTTTCACATCTTTGTTGCAACTTTATGAAATGTTATCTTGAGATCTCATCTAATTTGACCAAAAAAGAATCTTTCTTCATACTTTTTTTTTTACTCCTCCAGGTTTTATGTATGTTCTGTTCATGAATGCTCTTGACATGTTATATGTAAATATTACAATTTGAAGCTTATGATTTTTCAAGGGGAAAATTGTCTTCTTGAGGTGTTTGTTCATTTAAGGCCCAGGAAATATATATATATATATTGCAGCGGCGTTGCCACTCTATCAGTCTGCAGTCTTCAAAAAAATAAGGCATTTGTTGATTTTTGTACAATTTAAATGTTCAGGATATTCTGTGTTTTCATTAGGATATACATAACTGTTGGGTTGTTATTTTTCTTTTGATCTGGATTATGTTTTTATTAGGTTGGTAACCATTCTACCAAATAGGATAATTAAACCACTTGCAGAGCATTCAGAATACCCAATCGAGCTCATTGGTAATGCCTTGTACTATTATTGCTCGTATCTTTTGATATTTGTAAACCTTTGTTTAGGTTGTTTAAATTTTTACTATGCTGATCAATTCATCATGTTTCCTTTGCAGCTTTCTCTAATGATAGAAAATTTCTTGGCAGTATTTCACATGATCAAATGTTCAAGGTGAGGTCGTCGCACAGCATTTAACACTATCGACATCAAGTGCAGCGGACTCGTAGTCTGTGGCAAGACTCCAGTTAGCATTAAAGTCCTTTTGCTCTGAACATCCAAAAGACGCATTTTAGAACAAAAGGAGATTTTTCTTTTGTTTTTAATCCATTTGTTGCTCCAATCCATTATTCTTGTCCAAGAGGGTGTAATTTATGAGAAACAGCACAGCACAACATTGTCATATGCCCAATGCCTGCCTGAAGGCATATGTTCTAATGACAGTATGCCAGTATTTGTCTCAAATGTTCTAATGACGACGAGAATCTTTGGAGGATGAACACTCGTGAGAGCTATCGAATGTTTCATCCTCTTCCCGTCCATGTTACTGGCTGCGCTATTCAATCATTGGGTGCAACATAGAAAGGGCATATGCAGTGCAAAAGCATGCCTAATAACCATTACAGTCGATCAGGAATGATCAATACATCTCACATCGGCCAACAACAAAAAATTCAATCAGCAAATGAGGTGATTATAAGTGTATATTATATGTGTGTGTGTGTGTGTGTGTGTGTGTGAGAGAGAGAGAGAGAGGTATGGGTGCCTAATGGATGAATGGGTTTTCTTCCATCAAGTAAGATTCTTGCGCCCACCTTGCTTACCATCAAGATGTTACCCATGCATACTGCACTAAATCACTGATAAGATGGGTCCAACATAAATGTCTTCAACCCATAAGAAAATATGTGGTGAGTTCTTTACATCTATCTCAACAGGACCCTTCAGAAATTTCACTTTTATACCAGCTTTTGATATCAAACAATTTGTTCTACCTGCATACAGACCACTCCAGTTGATGCATCTGGAATCTATGGTCCCCCTCCAACCTACAAATTTAGGGTTCCTGTTTCATGAGGCATCTATCAACGTATATCGACTAATGCCCAAAGATTAGTCATTATGTTCTGCGAAGATAAAGGATTAGAAAGATACATGCTTTGTAATAGATGACATCTAGATTCAATTGAACTTTACAATTTCAGAGTACCTATGTATCAGCAATCCAAGATCAAATGAACACCACATGATGCAGAACAATGTAGAGCTAATTTGTGGACCAATCCAATCCGCAGTCTGCTTAATCCCAATAAATGAACACAAAGAATAAGATCTCAAAAACAGGAGGTGTTGACGAGAGGAATACTATGAGTATAGCATTGGCCACCTGTTGAGATTCTAAAATCAGCTGAATGCTGAAGAAAGGGTGGTGCCATAATGTGGACAACAAATTGTTGACCATGATCATCCTACTAAATCTAAGCACCTGTAATGTCATTGTTACCCATCTCCTGATATTTGTCAGTGACAAGATGAATCACAACATAATTGGTCACAACATTTACATTCAATAATGGAAATGCTAGACTTTTCGTTCACTGATGTACATGAAAATGGTAGGTTGATATTTACTTTGATGTGACTCATGGTCCAGAGGTGACAGAGTATTACAATTAGCCTCGTATAAATATATCTATTAGACACGACTATTCCCGCAAGCCAAGAGATCAAATAACACTAGGCAATGGGTTTTGCCCCCTTTGGAATGCATCATATATCCCACCTACAACTCAGTAGGCATTATAACAGCTATGGTTAAAGACAGAAGAAAAAACAAACAGAGGGTAAGGTAATCACACTTTGCAAATCATCATCATCATTGTTAACTATACTGTCAGGTCTTCTTCTAACTACTACGGCCTGCTTACCAGTAATTTAATTTTGCCAACATGCCGGGTTGAGGGGGTTGCATTTCTTCAACCTGATATCAACTGTCACTACCTATTAACTTGATCAAACTAAAATCGCGGGGCACAAATGCTTGTCCGAGATAATAATAATAGGTTCATCTAGCCTTTTATACAACCATCTTCATCTTTCACGACTTCTAATGTGAGACTAAATTATAGTGCCGAGACATAAGACAGGAAATATATTATTTTAGACTAAACAAGTGTTTAGCTTGAAGTGTGACAATGCACATGAGCTGATCCAATATGTTGGCTGGGTTGCAGGCCAACACATCTGTGTAGCCTGACTGTTTAATTAATCACTAAGTGATGTGAGACTAAACTTTGACCCTTATGTTTTTCCCTTGTTCCCAATATGTCTGAGCCCTAGACAAGCAATCAAGAATTCTCTACCACCAGCAATTTAAACAGTACAATCATCTTGATTGCTTGCAATAATCTCTTATAACTATGTAGAAAGTAATAGAAAAATGCCAGTTGCTACTTCTTCTTTCCATTTTGCGTGACAACTAAAAAGGCATTAACACTATAAGATCTACAAACATGATCAATTAATCGAAAAAGAGAAAACCCCATATATTAATATATCATTGTTGCTCAAGAAACATCACCCATATCTTGTTAATGAAACATCTACTGATGTGCTCTAAGACATTTAATCCGACTTTTCCAGAGCTGATTTAAATGCTAAAATTCAATTGAAAGGACACTAAGATCTACAAGAGAAAACCCAGTAAAATATTGCTCAAGAAAGGTCAAGCTAATACGAATCTTGTTAATGCAATATCCGTGAATGAGCTTTGAGAGACGAACACAAAGCAAGAAGTTTACCTGGATTCGTTGGCATCTTTATCTGCTGCTGATTTCTTCTTTCTCTTCGTCTTCATACTCCTTCGCCGTCTTCTTTTCAACCGAATCGGAATCGTCTCCGCCAAGAATCGCGAGCCCATCGGAGGCGACTACCCCAACGCCGCCACCTCCGACCACTGCCGAGGCCGCCCACGACGCACCCTCTTCCTCGGGGGCCTCTCCGAAGCCCTCATCGTCGCCATCTTCGTCGACGCGGGGGCCAGCGGAGATGGCGGCGAGGGCGAAGGCCTCCATGATGGACTCCGGAGGGAGGGCGCAGTCCTCGAGCCCCGCGTCCTCCAGCCTCGGCGGGCAAATGAAGGACGCTGCCGCCTCGTGGAGCACCGCGCCCCGCTCCTCCTTCTCGTCCATCGCTCGATCGAAACCGCTGGGGACGCCCAACTTACGGCGAAGTTTCTGGAAACGAGACGGCCCGCCCTACCAATGATAGGCTCCAAGTATATAGGACACTGATGACCCAACCCGGCCCACATAGTTACTGGTCTACGCCTAAATCCGGCCCATATAGAAACAACATATATTAACAGTATAGCACTGGGTCAACGAGCATGCAGACGTGGACGTGCGTCTGCCATGAACAATAGCAGCTCATAATATACGGCCAAACTATTTGGCCCTTTACAAGTTGTCCATGGTGACGCGGGGGACACTTAAGGACTCACATGCATGGGAAGAGCTCTGTCCACTGAGCCTGTGACACAAGAAGCCAAGTTGCAAGAGAACAGCTTAAGCCAGGAACAAGAAGAAGCCTCTCGCAGTCACCACTAGATGACAGTAATGGCGGCGGGAATGGCGAGCAAACATGGATGGGCATGCCTGTCCAATTGCCCTTGGCATTGTTGCTGCTAGTTTTGGTCACTCTTCTTCCTTGTGGTGCTCTGTCGATTCCAACGGAGACTTTTGGTTGCAATGCAGTGTTCTATTAAGCAGAGGAAGGATGTCAGATGATCTTCTCCAGCATCTCTTTGGGTGCATTCCCCCAGAGAGAGAGAGAGAGAGAGAGAGAGAGAGAGAGAGAGTTTTGTCTTATAACCGCTGCAAGCCATGGACAAGACAAGCTCATGAGAACATGCTTGATGGGAAACGAGAAGAGCCGGAGAAAGAGCATCGCGCCATGATGTATCGTATGGGACACACTACAAGAAGAACGGATAAGAGATATAACTTAACAATGATTCAGAAGCTTGTTCGATGCAAAGAGACCGTTGGTAAGATGATGCATTTCTTGAATCAGTCGATGTGTTTCATCGTCTAATCACTGTCTCAACTATACGAAGAATACTATCGTATGATATGAATTCACAGATCACAAGGCAGCAAATTAAGTTTCTGCTATAAATATGTTATCTTCCTTCTTGTTCTTCTACTGCGTGGGCTGATTCCATTTGGAAGGAAGGAGGAAGACACCATATGAGATGAGAGAGAGTTCAGCTCGGAGAGCGACAATGGGAAAGTCCAACAATAAAAGCAGCAGCGCCAAGTTCAAGCATCGCTTCTCTCGGATGCTGCTCGGCTCCTCTTGCACCACCACCACCATGGCAGCGACCACCTTGGGCCAAGCCAAGCTTCCGAGCGCCACCGCGCAGCGCGAGCTCTTTCCCGATCCAGATTGTCGCCGCCGACGCAAGCTCGATCACCATGCGCCCTTCTCCGCTACCGACCATCGCCGGCTGCGCCACGTCGCCCCAGTCGTGAGTATCTCCATCAACTGCGGCGCCCGTCGGTTCGTGCAAACCTCTGATCCGTTCCTTCCTTTGGTGAACAAGGAAGAGGAGCACGATAACGAGAGGAAGACAGAAGCTAAGCAGAGAAGCAAGAGAGCATCGGAGACAAAGAAGAAGACCAAGAGAGCGGAAGCAAAGAAGCTGTCACCCGATGCTTATGGATTCATCATCTCTTCTTCCATTGATAGCGAGAACCAACTCGATCTCTTAAGCAGTGATGAAGAAGAGGAAGAATCGGCGACTCTGCTATCATCCAATAGCTTCTCCTCCGACTCCTCCGACTCCTCCGAATTCTACCACAACCGCAGGAAGAAGAACACGAAGTCCACCAGGCGCCCGGCAAGAAGACATGCGACGCATTCCAAAGAGCTGCGGCCACTGGTCTCCATCGCGTCGAAGGAGAGGGAAGAGAGCCGAGAGAGAAGAGAGTCCAACGCAGGGTTCGCGGTGGTGAAGCGATCGAGCGACCCATACAGCGACTTCAAGAGCTCGATGGTGGAGATGATCGTGGAGCGCGGCATGCACAGGGCTCGAGACTTGGAGCGCCTCCTCGACGCTTACCTCTCCCTCAACTCGCATCGCCACCATCAGGCCATCCTCGAGGCGTTTGCCGACATATGCGAAGCCATGTATGGGAAGTAGCTGAACACTTGGAATGACAGTAGATTAGAGTGCTTTATGTTGCTGTTCTAATTCAATGCTCTAATGCATGGTACATACGTGGAGATGTACACGTTGAGAGTATTTGATTTGAGCTGATAAATAGGTTCCACTACAAGGAAGATCCCATTGAGGATAGACAAGTCTATTCCTCGATAAGTTAGTGGCCGGAGTTGGAGATGCCATCGCTGCAGTAGTCACTGTGTTTGAGGTGAGTGCTACTGCAAAACGATTGAAAGGTGAACAAACCGATCATTGCGACGGGAGGAAAACAACACAGGAAACAATTGAAAGGTGAACAACCGATCATTGCGACGGGAGGAAAACAACACAGGAAACAATTGACAGGTGAACAACCGATCATGGTGATGGAGAAAACCACTCGAGGAGGAAGCTAAGCTAAAGGATTTCACCTCACAGCATTAACATCATACAAAGCTGCTTCTTTCCTAGCGAAACAACTCTGATAGATTATTAGTTGGCATTCCATAAGATGATTCCAAGTGTTACTAGGTTTCTGTCAGTTTTCAGAGGAACAAGATCTCACATCCTCTCCATGTATTATCACACACAGCATGAGTAGGTGCATCGTAGGAGCTATCATTTATATATGGTTGGTTTCATCTTGCTCCTGTCATTTTTGTCTTGTCAAATCAAAATTTTACTGGCGGTGGACAATGGCCACATATTATGTTGAGATCATTCATATCTATCATATGATTCAAAGTAATATACAGGAAAAAAAAGCATTTAAAAAGTTTTTATTTTTAGCAATGATTCATGTACTAAACAAGGTCTAGTCTCACATCTAACATAATACTAATTCGACGTCAGTCTTGTCTTTACAGCAACATGAGGCAATCGTTTTGGACTCTTATTATTAGTATTATTTTTAGTGAGGTGAGGTGAGTTAAGAACATGAAATGAAAGGACATTCTTAGAATTTAAAAAATTCATGTAATATTAACATGATTCAATAATGTTTGGGTGGGGGTGGGGGAGAGATAAGATATTTAAAATAAAAATCTCAAATATGATATGAAAGGACATTTTTAGAATTTAAAAAAATTCATGTAATATTAACATGATTGAATAATTTTTGGGTGGGGGTGGGGGGAGAGATAAGATATTTAAAATAACAAAATCTCAAATATGAAACGAAAGGACATTCTTAAAATTTAAAAAATTCATGTAATATTAACACAATTCAATAATTTTTGGGTGGGGGTGGAGAGATAAGATATTTAAAATAAAAAATCTCAAATATGAAATGAAACAAGGTTCAATAATTTTTGGATCCGGGGAAAGAGGAGCTAAGATATTTAAAATAAAAAAATTATCTTATCTCTTCTCTTTAACCATCCAAAATGTCTTTATCTTCTACTTAGCATTCTTAATCTAGATCCGAATCTTAATAAAAAAATTTTCAAATCCAATTAAGACTCTCAAGGTAGCTTGGATGTAATTAGTACTTCTATAATACTTATCAATAATAATAATAATAATAATAATAATAATAATAATAATATTATTATTATTATTATTATTATTATTATTATTATTATTATTATTATTATTATTATTATTGGAAAGTGTGAGAATTTTTAGACTGACTCAACTCTATCGGTGACCTTGACGAGCAGTCCTGATTCCTGTTGCCAGCGCAAACCATGGGCTCCACTATTAGGCTTCCGTCCTACAGAGCGGGGCCGGTGGACGTGACCTTCCACTATTGGCTCGCTAAGGAGCTCCCTCCTTTACCCCCTCTTCTCACTATAAAGCCATCATTAACCTCCTTCTCATCATCGTCCATCGAAGGTGTTGCTTGTCGGTGCTGTATCTGACCCATTCCATGGATCGCTTCCTCTCTCTTCTTTCAATGTTCTTGGTAAGTGGACGGAGTTCTAGTCCTTTGTTCTCGATTTCGTTTGCCTTGTAAGCCTTTTTCAAGATGTTATGTTTCACTTCAGCTTGCTGCAGTCAGCCATGCAGCTTTATCCCCTCAGCTGGTTTACTGGCACTCTGTCCTCCCCAACACTCCCATGCCAAGTGCCATCAGTGACTTCATAGACCCTGGTATCTCTCTCTCTCTTTCTCTCTCTCTCTCTCTCTCTCTCTCTCTCTCTCTCTCTCAAGCTGCTTAATGTTTGGTCTTCTGATCGCAGATGTGCTTGCTGAGGAGAAGTCCGGTGTGAACGTGTACACGAAGGGGAAGAGCGGTGGCACCACCGTCAACGTCGGCCACGGCGGCGTCCATGTTGCCACCGGGAAGCCTGGTCCCGGCACCAACGTGAACGTCGGGCATGGCAGCGTCAACGAGAACACTGGCCACAAGGGAAAGCCGCGGGTGGTCGTCACTGTGCCCAACAGGATCTATATCTATAATGCTGCCACCGAAACCCAAACCCATGATGACCCCAACGTCGCCCTCTTCTTCCTGGAGAAGGAGCTTCGGCCGGGCGCCAAAATGAATCTACACTTCACGAAGACCACCTCGGGCGGCGCTTCTTTCCTTACCCAGAAAGAAGCAGACGCCATACCCTTCTCATCAGCCAAGCTCCCGGAGATTCTTGACCACTTCTCCGTCAAACCCGGTTCCGCGGAAGCCGAGGCGATGAAGACGACGCTTCAGGATTGCGAGGAACCGGCGGTGAGGGGAGAGAGGAAGTACTGCGCCACCTCGCTGGAGTCCATGGTGGAGTTCAGCATGTCGAGCCTGGGGACACGCGACGTCACGGCGATGTCAACCACCGTCGCCAAAGTGGTGACGCCGCGGCAGCAGTACACGGTCACGGGGGTGAAGGCGCTGCCCGGGGACAGGCTGGTGGCTTGCCACCCGGAGGCGTACGCGTACGCGGTGTTCTACTGCCACGCCACGGCGACGAGCAAGGCTTACAGAGTGGGGCTGGTGGGAACGGCGGACGGAGTGGTGGTGGAGGCCGTGGCGGTGTGCCACACCGACACCAGTGCGTGGAACCCCAACCACGTGGCCTTCAAGGTGCTCAAGGTGAAGCCGGGGTCGGTGCCGGTGTGCCACTTCCTGCCGGATGACAGCGTCGTCTGGAGCCGCAGCGGTTAAGGTAGAGCATGCCCCTCGCCGTGTTCACTACCGAAGCCTCTATATATATGCTGTGTGTGTTCGTATGTGTGCAAGCGAGAGCTCAATCTGTATCCTTTACTTTGTCTACGTACGCATGGAGTGTTGAGTTGCTTATGTTTGTTTCGCTGGTAGGTGTTGCAGACATAGGTGCACTGTATACTTTGTTATATATTAAGTTTGACTATATATTGTAATTATGGTGTTGAGACTATGATAAGTTTGACTGTGTCTCAGCTTGACGTGAAATGGTGGCTTTGGTGCAATAGCTGATGTCTAATCTTTAATATTTATTATCATTCTCGCTATGATTTAGTTCCACATCAAAATTATAAGGGTTGATGGTATGAGCATTTCAAGAGGGTTTCAAATTCCAGTCAAGTGGTTATCCATCTCCACATTCCGCAGAATGACTCCCGAGTGTTGTTCTGTTTGTATCAATTTCCAAAGGAAGAAGATGTGACACTGCATCATCTCTCTGTGTCCTCGGAGCCAAGCTTGACGAAGGTGCATTGCAGGAGCACATACGACGACACAATTATCAGAGAGGACTTCATTGTGCTAAGTGAACGGAAGTATGAAGTGACAGAACGAAGATTCTCGATAGGACATACGAGTTATGGAGACAGGAATACATAGAATAGAATTAAATCTTTCGATGATTCCAATTATTATGGTATTACATACCTTCCTCTACCTTGATTTGGACAGTAAATCCAAATTTAAATTATTAAATAAAAAGAGAAAAAGGAATGAGACGTGCGCGCAGCGAGGGAACAGTGCTGGCGTGATAAAGAAAAATATTGAGAAAAGGAGAAAAAGTTAAGGTTTTTGCTACGTGATCTAGCGATTTACAGTTTATTTTTTCTAATATGTTTTCTTGTTACCAGACTTAAAATTCTTTGTTACAAAATTTATTTATGGTGACGATGATATATTAATATTGAAGTTATTGTGATCCTTTTATTATTCTAAAGAAGATTTCCTATAAACTTGTTATCAATATTGGTGATAGTGAAAGTTTGAGGTGGATTACAGTCCCGTAGTTTTTTTCGTATTGTGTTTTTCACGTAAAAATTCAATGTCTCACTTGTAATTGATTTATTGTTTTACTATTTATGTTGCTCTGGTTAATATTTATATTTTGATAATAAGTTAGTTTTTGATGAAGAACTCATTTTGATATACAAAGAGATAAAAGAATTATTCCGCTATAATAGTTTTTCCCATCTAGTGGTATCAGAGTAACATCTTATTTGGTATTAGTTTTTCTTATGTGATTAAAATGGATGAGTCAGATAGTATGATTAAATTGAACTCATCAAATTATTCCACTTAGAGGCATATGATAAAAGATTTGTTCTATTGCAAACATTTGTATAAGCCCATCAAGGTTAAATATAAACCTTCTATTATAGAAGATATGAAATGAGTGGTTCTAAATAGAAAACCTATTGCTTATATTAGAAGATGAATATAAATTTGCATGAACATATTTCTGATGAAACCAAAGGTGATGTTGTTTGGCAAAGATTAGAAAACCTGACAAAGACAGTGAGAAATAGAATTTCTTTCATCGGAAGATTTGTAAATTTAAAGTATAAAGATGGTTGTAATATTGTTAAGCATATAAGCCTATTTTAGAGTCTTGAAAATAAGTTGGTTGCTATGAAAATGAATATAAATGATGAGATGCAAGGATTATTACTTCTCAGCTCTTTATCAAAAAGTTAGGAAAGATATGTGGTGACGATTTGTAACTCCACACTAGAGGGGACTCTAACTATAGATATAGTTAAAGACAGTTTGCTAAATAAATATTCTAGAAAGAAAGAATAGGAAGAATATTCTTTTGTAACAGGCTAGGTCACATGAAGAAAAAGTATATGTTTTAGAAGCGAAAACAGAATTAATGGAAGAAAAATGAGAAAGAGACCAATACTACTGAAGGTGATATCATTATTGTTTGTAACAACAGTTATGTCAGTCTTGCAGCTCATGATAGTAACTGGGTAATTGACTCTGGTGCTTTATTTCACGTTACTTCTTATGATGATTTCTTCATATCTTACACTGTTGGTGAGTTTGATAATATTAGAATGGGAAACAATAGTACGTCTAAGATTATGAGTATTGTAGATATTTTCTTAGAGACCAGTATTGGGAGCAAATTGATACTCAAAGATGTTAGACATGTTCTAGATATTCGTCTTAACTTAATATCTACAGGTAGACTTGATGATAAGGGATTTATACACTATTTTGATGAAGATAAATGGAAACTCATTAAAGTTCTCTAATTGTAGCAAGAGGAAATGAGCTTAACTCTTTTTTATGTCATTATGTCATGCAAGCTAAGCTACACAAAGGAGAAATTCATGTAATTCAGAAAGATGAAAGTATAGATCTTTGGAACAAGAGGCTTAGCCATATCAACGAGAAGGGACTTCAAACTATTGCTAGAAAACAGTTTTTACCAAAGTTGCAAGGTACATCTCTTAAATCTTGTAATTATTGCTTAGTTGAAAAAACACATAGAGTTGCTTTTCATAAATATCTATCATTTAGAAAATCAAATGTTATTGATTTGATTCATATTGATTTTTGTACTATACAAACTATAACTCTTTGAGGTGTTCTTTATTTTATTATTTTCATTGATGACTATTTTAAAAAAATATGAGCTTTTGTTTTAAATCGAAAGATCAAGTACTCGATATTTTCAAAGAGTTTCATGAAAGAAAAATTAGCAAAAAGCTAAAGTATGTTCGAGCAGGTAATGGTGGTGAGTACAGGGTCCTTTTGAGAATTATTACAGATTTCAGGGTATCAAGTTTAAAAAAATAGTTCCTAAAACTTCTCAACAGAACGGTGTGATAGAAAGGATGAACAAAATCATTGAAGAAAGAATTAAGTGTATGCAAGTTACTTAAGTCATTTTGGGAAGAGGCTATGAGAACTATAGTTGACCTAATAAATCTTCTCTATCAATTCCTCCGAAAAATTATGTTCCAGAGAAAGTATAGAAAGGAAAAGATATATTTTATAATTACTTAAGAGTGTTTGGGTGTAAAGTATTTGTTCATATTCCTAAAGATGAGAGGTTAAAGCTTGATAATAAGGTAAAAGCATGTATCTTCTTGGAATATGGTCATGAAGAGTTTGGGTATAGATTATAGGATCCAATGAACAAAAAGATTTTTAGAAGCAGAGATGGTAGTTTGGGTATAATTTTTTTTTTTTACTCTGATTAATATTTAAATTTTGGTAACAAGTTAGTTTTTGACGAAAAATTTGTCCGTTATAACAATTTTTCTCAACAATTCTCTGCGACAATCCAACATTAAGAAAATAGCTTTTCACCTGCTGGTCTTTTTCTTTCTGTGTTGGTAGCTTCCTCTTCCTATTTCTGTGTCCGAGAGACATTGAATGAACACAGCAACATAGCTCCTCGATAAGAGCTCAACTTTAAGTTGTCATTCTTGGAGATGATGGAGCATGTTTCGATTACCCCAACATTGAGGAGTGCCTCTATCATCAAGCCAATCAACTCCACATGTCTTCATTCACGCACAAGCTAGAAGGCGATATGGAAACTAGATGAGATGTTTGGTAGACAAAATATTTTCTTCATCATTTGATAGATCTGCCGAACTGCAACTTTATTACGGCAGTTGGCAGATCAAAGGCTATTCAATCAATATCTCAAACCTGCCTTACCTCTCCTTCAGCTCACAGTTGCCGTCCAAGATTAGCTTGTCAGGAATGGTGACAACGCATGTAGAAAAACGTCGAGAAGGAGAGAGCCACCAGTTTCATGTAGGTAGAGTGCATGAACCTCCAAAACTAGAGATCAATTAATACAAATATATCCCTATATATGTCAAGATTGATTATTCTTTCATACGAGCGAGCCAAACTGGTCCAACACCTGTAACTAATATTAAATGTTAAGTAAATATTATCATATTTTGATAATCTTAGAATAACTAATACACATCCAGACTTTATGATAGAAATCGAGCTACTGCATATTGGCCATATGAACAACGCTACAACATTTATGTTGAGTTCAAATCGATGTTTAATTTCTTGGTCCGACGAATTGACAAAGGGAAACCAAAGTTTGACTTGTTTGTGCTAATTTCCCTACCTTCACTTGACGTGGGTGTGTATTCTGCTGTCGGCGTCCAGACAGGGTTCACGGATTTGTCAACCACGACAAGATGAGCGGATCTTCGCGTGTCCCCACTGATGCCCGTCCGTTTCATTTTTGTGGAAATACTAAGCTGAATCCTGTTCGGGATCAAACACACGAGCTGCATCGTCAGGCCTTCGTACATGGCGTCATTTTCCGTCGATATGTGCCATCAAGGCGAGCATGGAGGAGGGCGGCGTCTGCGTCCATCCGAACGGCACTCACTAATGCGATCCGTGGACGGTTGAGGCGATCCGACATTAATGCCAGTTGCTGTTGCTCTCCCCGCCTCCCACCCTCTCGTTCTCTCCCTTCTATAAAACCCTCGCCGGTTTTCTTCTCATCGTCGCCGGCGACGTCTGTGTTTGGTCTGTTGTTGGTTCCATGGATCGCTTACTTTGTCTTCTTTCCTTCCTACTGGTAAGTAGGACGAGCTTTAGTTCTCTAAGTCTCGAATTTACTTAAGCTTCCTTCACTTAATCCTCTTCCTTATCTTCTGTTCTGTTTCAGCTTGCTACAGTTAGCCATGCAGCTTTATCCCCTCAGCTGGTTTACTGGCACTCTGTCCTCCCCAACACTCCCATGCCAAGTGCCATCAGTGATTTTATAGACCCTGGTCTCTCTCTCTCTC